CTCCCTAGATGGCTGCAATGGCCAGGGCAGGGCCAGGCTGAAGCCAGGTGCTTCATCCTGGTTTCCCACATCAGTGGCAGGGTCCCAAACACTTGGCCATCTGGGAAGTGAATGAGAGTGGATGGAAATCTTAAAAAAGAAAAAAAAAAGAAAAAAAAAAAAAAGAAAAAATAAATTGAACACCAACCCAGGGATAGGCATCAGACCGCAGACAGAGGACAGTGCTTGCCCCGGATGGGATGAGATCTTTGGCTTTGCTCAGAGGTAGGCTCCAAGAGCTGCTGGCCTCCCAAGGAATCTCCAACCTGGAGGCAAACAGAAGCTACAATCTCTCTCTCGGATCCTTTCCTGAACCAAATGTTCTCAAGCTCCACACAACAGAAATCAACTCCTCTGCTTTCAGCCTACCTTTCCCTCTTGTTGAAACATACGCAGTATTCAGCTTAAGACAGGAATTTTCTAAGTATCAGGGAAAGAAAGGAAATCACATCAAATGTACATACTGAGGCTATGTTGTGGCATAGCAGGTAAAGCTGCCACCTGCAACTTCGGCATCCCATGTGGGCACAAGCTCGTGTCCGGCTGCTCCACTTCTGATCCAGCTCCCTGCTAATGGCCTGGGAAAAGCAGAAGATGGCCCAAATGTTTGGGCCCCTGCCACCCATGTGGGATACCAGGAAGAAGCTCCTGGTTCCTGGCTTCAGCCTGACCCAGCACTGGCCATTGTGGCCATCTGGGGAGGGAACCAGCAGATGGAAGATTTCTGTCTCTCCCTCTCTGTAACTCTGAATTTCAAATAAATCTTAAAAAACAAATAAAAATAAAATGCACATACCAACTACCCTGACCACTGGCTACAGGAGCAGGTTAATTATTGGTTGCTCAATGTTCTCTAATAAAAAGGGTGGTGAGAGACAGGGGGAGAAAGGGATCATAAAACCTTTTAAAAAGACTAACCAGGCCGGCGCCGCGGCTCACTAGGCTAATCCTCCGCCTAGCGGCGCCGGCACACCGGGTTCTAGTCCCGGTTGGGGCGCCGGATTCTGTCCCGGTTGCCCCTCTTCCAAGCCAGCTCTCTGCTGTGGCCAGGGAGTGCAGTGGAGGATGGCCCAGGTGCTTGGGCCCTGCACCCCATGGGAGACCAGGAAAAGCACCTGGCTCCTGGCTCCTGCCATCGGATCAGCGCGGTGCGCCGGCCGCAGCGCGCCGGCCGCGGCGGCCATTGGAGGGTGAACCAACGGCAAAAGGAAGACCTTTCTCTCTGTCTCTCTCTCTCACTGTCCACTCTGCCTGTCAAAAAAAAAAAGAAAAAAAAAAAAAAAGGAAAAAAAAAAAAAGACTAACCAAAGCTAAAAGTGAAACAAACTGAATGCTTTCTTAAATTTAATTTTGGTTCCATGTTAGAAAATCTCAGGAATGGAGTCAACCAGTGAAAGTGGTATGTGAATTGGTTGAAAAACAACTCTATTCTTCTAAGTTACTACAGCATTTTTTTCCCTAAGGGGATAAATTCAACACCATAATAAAGCCCTAGAACATTGGAAATAAATAAACTCTTCCTTTAAAAAAGAAGATAAATCAAGAGCAGGAAATGAACCAAAATGTTAGAGGTGGTGATTCTGACTAACTCTCTAAAAAAAAACCACCCCCAAAACCAAAAGCAGCACCTCAGCACGATAGTGGAGTGTCGGTAACGCATGAAGCTGGGGAGGAAGACAGCTTTTTTAGAGCAGTTAGCTATGTGCCGGGTGTTGTAAGCCACTTTATATCCACCAACACACTTAAAATCGAACAAGATTAGAATTACACAACTAGGAAGCAGAACTGCAATTCAGACCCAGTCTATCTGCCTCGTGGCTCAGAGCAGTCCTACTGGCACGCCCTGGGGCCCAGGTTGTGGGCTGTGCCATCCCGACTTCCCCTAGGGCTTCAGACAGCAAGTCTGCCAGAGGTAAAGCACATCCCTGTCTTCACAGGACAGAACTTCCTTCCACCTTTTTAATGTCTTTTGTCTGATAAATCGCTAGATGGAACTGAAACATGGTGACTTTATTTCCATTTCAATGACAGAGCTTAGTAAGAAATAGAACAGGGTCTGATAAAACAAAAATAATCACACACACACACACAAAACACCAAAGCTTTGTAAACAGATTTGGTTTACAAATGTGAGACCTACTGACAAGAAGTAACAAACTGAAAAGTCATGCTTACTATTTGTAAAATGACAAGAACTACACTCTAGAGCTTTTTGGGGAAAAGCAACATAGGTGGAACAATGATGGAAAACCTACAGGAAGGGCAGAGAAGCCAGGAGAAGAGCAGTCTCCCCTTATCTACAAGAGGTAAATTCCAGGATCTCTAGTGGGTGCTTGAAACCATGGCTAGTACTGAATACTAAATACACTATATATTTTTTTTCCCAATCATACATATGTATAATGCCTTTTGCATCTTAACTAACCACTTACCATGTACTGTGGCAATAACTTTTTTTTTTTTTTTTTTTTTTTTTTTTTTTGACAGGCAGAGTGGACAGTGAGAGAGAGAGAGACAGAGAGAGAAAGGTCTTCCTTTGCCGTTGGTTCACCCTCCAATGGCCGCCGCTGCAGCCAGCGCACCGCGCTGATCCTGGCAGGAGCCAGGAGCCAGGTGCTTTTCCTGGTCTCCCATGGGGTGCAGGGCCCAAGCACCTGGGCCATCCTCCACTGCACTCCCTGGCCATAGCAGAGAGCTGGCCTGGAAGAGGGGCAACCGGGACAGAATCCGGCGCCCCAACCGGGACTAGAACCCGGTGTGCCGGCGCCGCAAGGTGGAGGATTAGCCTATTGAGCCACGGCGCCGGCTCTGTGGCAATAACTTTTATAGTTTGAAGTATGACAGCAAAGCTAGCACCAGTTTCTTTTTTTGTTCACAATTTCAAAGATATAAGATCTGCTGTTATTATAGATCTTATTAAAAAAAATAAAAAGGCCATAAACTGAGACTACTAAGTTGAGAACTTTCCACTTTTCATTTTTTCACTTAAAGGAAGTACTTTACAGCTTCTCTTTGTCACATCTGAATTGCCAGCATCGCTACTCTCATAGTATGGGGCCACTATTGAGTAAAATAAGGGTTACTTGAACACAAGCACCGATGCACATAATGGGTGGGTAGCAAATACAGCATAAATATGCTGGACAAGAGCCGGCGCCACGGCTCACTAGGCTAATCCTCCACCTGCGGCACCGGCACACCGGGTTCTAGTCCCGGTCGGGACGCCGGATTCTGTTCTGGTTACCCCTCTTCCAGGCCAGCTCTCTGCTGTGGCCTGGGAAGGCAGTGGAGGATGGCCCAAGCGCTTGGGCCCTGCACCCCATGGGAGACCAGGAGAAGCACCTGGCTCCTGCCTTCGGATCAGCGCGGTGCTCCGGCCATAGCGCGTCGGCCGTGGCGGCCATTGGAGGGTGAACCAACGGTAAAGGAAGACCTTTCTCTCGGTCTCACTGTCCACTCTGCCTGTCAAAAAAATAAAATAAAATAAAATAAAATAAAATAAAATAAAATAAAAATATAAATACAAGAAGAAAATGAGAAAAAAGGATATTAGGAGGAAAGAAGAAGGCAAGAAGGGCAAAGGATTACTATTGGGAATGGTCAACAGGAGCGGTTCTTGGACGCTGTTTGTTTTTAGTGTGGGGTTACATAGTGCTACAGTGTGTGCATGTGTGCATAACCACATCCACGCTGAAATTCAATACCCAGTCTTAAGAGGCGGGGTCTTTGGGAGGTGAATAGGTCATGGGGTGGAGCCTTCATGAATGGGATCAGTGGTCTTGGAAAGAGCTTGAGGAACCTTCAGCCACGTGAGGACAAATGGAAGGTGCTGTCCCTGAGGAAGGGCCCTCACCAGTACTTGAATCTGTTGCCACCTGTAGGACCTTGCAGCATCCAGGAATTTAAGAAATAAATTTCAATTGTTCATGCTCAGTCTTAGGTATTTAATGTACTAAGACACATAGGCATTGGTTAAACAATTCACAGTTTAAATTTTGTGGACTTCTTGTCTATGTGTTATACTTCAGAGAAAACCTTTAAAAATGAAAGGGGGGCAAGATTAAGTAGTTTCAACTATGTTGATTCTTGTTTAAATGGGGAAACAAATCAGTTTTTCAGACTGATGAGAAAACTGCAAACAATAACTTGGGTTATGATTCCAATGACAATGAAAGAACGTGGAATTATTAATGTAGGCCACTTAATTGATCAAGTATTTACTGAATATGTACCAGAAGACTGGAAACTGCAGTTTTATGTACTTGAATTATTCAAGGAAAAGAAAACTTTGGCCTAATAATTTAGATATTTTCATGTCTGAATCAGGATAATGAATCAGGTATCTGGTGATACACTCCTGTTCTTTGACACTTCCTTTGTTAGGCCACAAGGCTGTCCTTTTATGACTACCAATGTGCTACTGGACTGAATTAAAACAGAGCCTATATCACACTCTCACAGCCAAACCTGGAGAGAGAAAATATATTAAGTCTACCTTTTGAAACCTAAACCTGGTTTTTGATAAGACACGAAAATTGAGATAATGATTCATGACCATTTAAAAAGTGAAATAGAAACAAAACTGTTTTAATTACTTCTGGGTTCAATTAACCACCTATGTATTGAGGGCTTGATATTTGCCCAGCAGCATTAGTACAAGTAAATATAATCATTACTTTCATTTCATTTGCTACTGAAATGAGATTTTTTCATATCTCACCGATATAAACATTATTTCACACTTTACTTCACACTTTAGTAATTCACACTAATAGGGCTAAGTTGGAAAGGTTTTGATTCTTAACGTTTAAAAATGAACCAACTAACTCAATGACCCTAAATCTTTGATTTTTTTCTATGTTAAAAAACTCACAAAATTGTTAGTCCATGTAGTCTTAGCTCTTCAAAGCAGCTTATTATTGTCAGTAATTAATACATTATATTACATTATTCCCCATTACCTTAGAAATACAAAGAATCCCTCAGAATAGGCTGCTGGGGCGCAGACTCTAGATTCCTCTGTAGATTTTTGAAGGGCTAGACAGGATAATTAGAAATCAAGAATGGAAAAATAATAGAAGTAGGTAAACAAAAAGCAAGCACACAGAAACTACCATCGTTACTTATAGATGGGTGATGCTGGTAGTTATTTTCATTGCTCTTAGCAAGTTTCTTCTTAACATGAAAGCTGGACCATTAGCTAACACAGGAGAGAGCACAATCATTTGACTCAAAAATGCAGTGGGTCTGTTCCCACCAGTGTGGAATGCTTGCTGTGTCACATTTTCTCACTGCTTTGCTCTTGTCCACAATCAAGTGGACACAGCGTGTCTCTGCAGAAGTTAAAGACTGTGTTATTTTATAACCTGAGAGGAGGAAGAGGGATCCCTTCTATTTTCAGTCTCTTTGAGAGGGAAAATGGTGAAGCAAAGAGTTCCAGAGATCAGGCCTTCCACTGAAACAACCAGAATCAGCTATTTTGGGATGCTGGAACCTCTAAGATACTACAGCCACTAGGGGAGTGCTTGATGAAGAGAGAGGAAGGCAGCACGCACCATCCACCAACCCCTCCAGCTACAGGGAGGGCTCTGCGTTCCTAGAGAAGTTACCTGGAATGAAGGTGCGCAGCAAGGACCTAGTCCACTCAAAGTCTGGACCTGCCCTTTGTTCTGTTTGAGGTTCCTGGATAATCAGTGCAGACGGCTGCATTTGTTCTGGCCCCCTCTGGCTGTGCTGGCTTCCCTGGTAGGGTTTATTAGAAGATCTGAAGAGACAGACAGCCTTTTCTTGGGGGAGGGACTGGGAGCCAGAGACTCATGGAAAACCCTCTCAGGTCACAGAAATTTCAGTGACCACACACAGAAAGGAATACAGACTTTGCAAAAATAGCTACACAAATGGATGACTGCAGTGCCCCTGAGGAGGGGAAGAATCTGATTTATAGAGTTACCACATTATAATTCTCAGATGTCTAGCTCAACAAAAACCTACAAAGCATTAAAACAAAAAAGGAAAGATGACTTATTCACAGGGAGAAAGGAAGCCCAGACATTGGAATTATTAGTCAACGACACAAATCAACTGTATTAAATATGGTTAAGGAACTAAAGGAAATTATGAACAAAGAACTAAAGGATATCAGGGAACATTGCATGAATAAAGTCAAAGTCAATAAAGAGAAATGATAAAAAGGAGTAGAAATTCTGGAGCAGAGACATAATGGCAATACAAACAGAAAATTTACTAGTGGGGTTCAATGAGATATAGGAGCAGGCAGAGGACAAAATCAGTGAATTTGAAGCTAATGCAACTGAATTAATTCTGAGCAGGAGAAACAGCCAAGAATATAGAACAATGAACAGTACCTGAAGGATCTGTGGAATAGTATCTTACACACCAATGTACTACACATCACTGGAGTCTCAGAGGGAGATGAGGGACACAAAGGGTAGAAAAAGTACTTAAAGAAGTGGCTGAAAATTCCTCCAAACTTGATGAAAGACATGAGCCTACACATAGTGAGAAGCCCAGAAAATTCCAAGTAGAACCAACTCGGAGATCCACAATAGGACACGTTATCACCAAACTGTCAAAAGCCAAAGGCAGAATCTTGGAAAACAGCAAGAGAGAAGCAATTCTTCATATGCAAGGAGTATTCAATAAGACTAACAGCCGATAATACGAATCATGAAGGTCAGAGGGCAGTGGATGATAAATTTAAAATGCTGAAAGAAAAACCCATCAACCAAAAATTCCATATATGGCAAAACTATAAGAAAAAAGGAGAAATTAAGACATTTCCAAAGCCAAGGGCATTTGTTTCCACTAGACTGTTCTGCAAGAAATGCTGATGGAGTGCTCGCTTCAGCAGCACATTTACTAAAATGCTGAAGGGAGTCCTTCAGTTGAAATGACGCTAGACAGTAACTTGAAAGCACAGGAAGAAATAAGGAACACTGGAAAAGGTAATTACTTATGAAAAAGCCAGTATTTGTACTTTTGGTTTATGACTCCTCTTTATAATTTAAAAGGCGAATTCAGAAAGTAATTGTACCTCTGTGTCCAGTCATATAGATTTATAAACATGTAAACTGTGACAATGACAATATAAAGGGGGAGGAACAGCGATGTATAGAAGCAATACTACTGGCCGGCGCCGCGGCTCACTAGGCTAATCCTCCGCCTAGCGGCGCCGGCACACCGGGTTCTAGTCCTGGTTGGGGCGCCGGATTCTGTCCCGGTTGCCCCTCTTCCAGGCCAGCCCTCTGCTGTGGCCAGGGAGTGCAGTGGAGGATGGCCCAAGTGCTTGGGCCCTGCACCCCATGGGAGACCAGGAAAAGCACCTGGCTCCTGGCTCCTGCCATCGGATCAGCGCGGTGCGCCGGCCGCAGCGCGCAGGCTGCGGTGGCCATTGGAGGGTGAACCAACGGCAAAGGAAGACCTTTCTCTCTGTCTCTCTCTCTCACTGTCCACTCTGCCTGTCAGGGGCGAAAACAAAAAGAAGAAAGAAGAAACAAGCAATACTACTAAAATATACTATTAAAACAAAGTTGCTATTATTACAAATTTAAATGTTAATTGTAATCCCCAAGGTAATGAGTAAGAAAATAGTAACAAAGAGAGCCAAAGAGGCCATCTTAGTATCAGACAGAACAGATTTTAATACAAAAATGTTACAAGAGACAAAGAACATTGATAACATTCAATCCAAACAGCAAGATTTATATAATTGCAAACATACATGCATTTAACCACAGTGCCCCAAAATATAAGAAGCAAAAGTTGACAGGATTGAGGGGAAAACAGTTATACTCTCCCCCACTTAATGTTGTATGATTGTTTAGAATTTCTCTACAGACAAAACCCTCTACCCGCAAAAGATGAGTGGCTTTTCTCCAGGTCTTGGCTGGGATCAGCTTTAAACCACACCCATCAATGAGTCTTCACAAGGGTCCAGAGACCCCACCCCTCATTTCCTCTCCTCTATGAAATCCTCTCATTACCTGGTTAATGCCACTCTTAGGATCATCGGTTGCTATTCTCACCCTGTCTTTTATACTACTGTGTCTGCTTAAGTGTTTACAGGAGTTGATAATGGAACAAACCAAGGCCTTCAGCAACCAGGCAGTCAACCAAATGCTGCTACAGGGATATACTCGGCTCCCCACCCAGGAGACAGCAGCTTGAAACATCATCCCATTTCAGCAGGAAGTAGCTCTAAAGACAGATCATCGTCCCTATACCCCTCCTGGACTTTTTGGGCTAATGTAATCCCATATAACTCTTGCTTTATAAAAAACAAAAGGGGGGAATGTTAGTAAAATAGCGCAGTCTCATCTATGTCGCGACCTACACCCTGACACCAACCTAGGCTCTAGCCCCCGCCGCCACTGCTGGAAGCCAGGTGACCACATGGCCCAACCACTGGTGTCAGCTCCACTCCCATCCTAATGGGATTCGCTGCTCCTACTTACACATGGCTCTCTTTCTCTCCGTCTCCTGATCTCTCTCTCCCTCTATCTCTCCCTCAATCTCTCTCTCCTCTCTTTCCTTCTTTGCCCCTTCCTCCAATAAACCCTTTCCCTTCAAAAAAAAAAAAAAAATAGGAGTGGAAACTTCAGGCATATATAGTTTATGCCACCACCAATAGCGGAATACACATTTTTCAGACCTGCACAAAGAACATTCTTCAGGATAGATCATTATGTCAGGCCATAAAACAGATTTAAAAGCCTAAAAGTATGTTTTCCAATCACAATGGAATGAAACTAGAAATCAACAGGTGAAAAACTGAGAAATTCATAAATATGTAGGAATTAAACAACACACTGGGAACTAATGGACCAAAGAGGAAATAATGAGGAAAAGTAGAAAATATCTTGAGAACAAAAAGAAAATACAACATTCCAAAACTTACAGGATGCAGTAAAAGCAGTGCTCAAGAGTGAAATTTATAGCTGTAAATGCTTACAATAAAAAAGATCTCAGATCAATAACCTACTCTATACCTTAGGAATCTAGCAAAAGAAGAGCAAACTATAACGAAGCTGGCAGAAAGAAGGAAACGATAGAGATTGAAGAATAGAAAAACAAAAGAAAAAATCTCCAAAAACAAAAGTTCATTTTTTGAAAAGAACAAGAAAACTGGCAAATCTTTAACCTGGATTGGTAAACAAAGAGAAGATTCAAATCACTAAAACAGAAATGAAAGAGGGGTTATTACTACTGGCATCACAAAAATAAAAAGGATTATAAAAGGATACTATGATTTCTTAAACATGACAACAAAAGCACAAGTAACAAAAGAAAAGCAGAAACAGAACTTTATAAAAAAATTTTTTGCACATGCAAGGAAATGATTAAGGAAGTAAAACAGTAACACAAAGAATGGGAAAAAATTCTCTAAACCACATCTTATAAAAATCTAATACCCAGAAATATGAAGAACTATGAATCAAAACAATTCAATTAATAAATGATTTGAATTTGAATAGACATTTCTCTAAAGAAAAAACACGAGACAAGCACATAAAAAGATGTTCAATATCATTAATCAGTAAGGAAACAAAAGTGAAAACTCAATAAAATACAATTCCACACCTACTAGGATGGATATTATTTTTTAAAAAGGAAAATAATAGGTGTTGGTGAAGATGTGGAGAACTAGGAAACCTTGTGCCCTATTTGTGGAAAGCAGTTTAGTAGTTCCTCAAAAAGTTAAACAGAATTACCATTTGACCCATCAATTCTACTTTTGGTTGTATGAAGGGCAATAACAAAAAGTTAATAGAACGTGCATATTATGAAAAACTATGCATGGATTTCAAAAGTTTTTGTACCAAAGTAAATATTTTGACTCACTTTTCCATAAACTTTTTGATGTACTCTGTGTATGTCCAATAATGGGAAACGGACTCAGGTATTTGTATAGCAATGTTCACAGCAACATTATTCATAGTGGGCAAAAGGTAGAAACCATCCTGTTGTTCACTGGATGGAAGATAAACAAAATGTAGTGCAGACATATTAGCAGAATG